GGTCCTGCGCGGCGCGCAGCTGGGTCTGCACGGCTGCCAGTTTGTGCCGCAACTCCGCATTCACCAGCAGGAGGCGCTGCAGTTGCTCCTGCAACTGAGGGCGGAGCAAGAGGTGAAGGCTGGTGGGCGGGGCGCCGGGGCCAGACAAAGCCGGACGGCCTCGCGCCCACCGCGCCGCCCTCACCGCCTCCGTCTCCTGGCTGCGCTGCGCCAGGTCGCGGTTGTGCGCCCGGAGCTCGTCCCTCTGGCGGTCCGTCACTTCCTTGAGTTGCCGCAGCAGCGCGCGCTCCTCTGAGGAAGGGGCATCCTTAGCGGCGGTCCGCGGAAGGGGAGGCCCCGCGCCGGCCGCCAACCCGCCCTTGGCCTGGCCGGGGCCGGCACTCACCGTGCGGCCCGGCGCGCAACTCCCTGCGGAGGTGCTCGTTCTCCTCCCGCAGCCGCCGCAGCTCCAGTTCGGCCTGCTGCGCCGACACCTGCAGCTAGGGAGGCCGGGCGTCAGTCTTAGGCGCCCGCGACGCCGGCCCCGCGGGTGGCGAGTGGGGGGGCAGTGACTCACCGAGTCCGGGGCCGACCCCACGGCAGCCTTTTCCAGGAGCTCCAGAGCTCGCACCACGAGGGGCACCAGCCCCGCCGCAGCTTCTGGCCCGAAACGGCGCGCCAGCTCTTGCAGCTCGGTGCCCAGGGCTCCCGCTAGATGATACACAAGTTCCGCGGCCGTCCCCGATCCCGCGGCCACTCGAGACCCCCTCCCGTGTGCCCCAGGCGCCGCCCTCCTGGGCTCCATGGCCCCCGAAGGCCTAGGGCCTCGCTCCCCCTCCCCCAACTGGGACAGGAAAAAGTCAAACCGTTCCGGCCCAGGAAGCAGTTTAGGGCAGTAGGGGCGGGGTAGAAGCAACAAGTAGTGGGGAGGAGCGATTAAGGGAAAAGGCGTAGGGAAGAGAGATCGTGCCCTAGGCCCCTGGGCTCTATTCTATTCATCCCCCCAAGGTCACAGGAAACAGGACAGCCAACTTCCAGCCAGGCGTCCCAGAGCTTCGGCTCAGGGCTGTAAGTGGCCACTTTAATCAAGCCCTCCCCACAGTGCCCAAACCAGGCTCCACCCCTGTGTCTGGAGTCATGGGGCCAATTTGGCAGCCAAGTACTCCAGGCAAGAGGTGACAGGTGGACCAGTCACTGGCTTCCGCCTGGCAGTACACAAACTGTCTGCCAGTGTGCTTGTTTCCTTGAGCAGGAGTGACACAGAAAGTCAAATGGGATAGGCTGGACACTACAGCTGCAGA